ACTGGGAACATTTGTATTATAGCAGAATGCCACACTGCGTATGATATAATATTATTTTACAGTTGAGGGTGTACACTCATTTTCTGCATTTGTATCAAAACCTCTCTTTATCAAGTAGAAGTCACAGTTTGGACGTTGAAACTTTGCCATATTGATAAATTTGCCAAACATCTTCCTCTACCTATACTATCAAGGGTGTTCTTCTGGACTTTGGAGTCCACCTTTGTGTCTGAAAACCTGTCGTCGATGCTATAATGGCGGGGTATGTGATGACAAGTCTGGTACCTGTGTGTGTGCTCCCGGATTCAGTGGATACAGTTGTGAGCAAGGTAAATAAATGAGAGTCCTAAGTAAAGACGCTTGAAGTGAATCCTTTGTCTCCAGTTTCTGTTGAACGATGAGATGACTCAATGACTTGACTCAAGTATGGCTCAAGTCACAATTTTTGAAGACTTGAGTTGACCAATGGGTAAATGACTCGACTCAATTCTCTAATCAGGAGACTCAACTCCAGGTAAGTTAATAAGGCTCGAGTCCTCAAAATTAAAGTTTTTGCCAAAAATAGTTGGAATGATGTACAGAGTCCGTTTATAATGTTCATGTCATCTGTTTTTAGAGTAAGATGTGTGATCACATGAGTTACCATCGAGGTAAATTGTAAAGTGGGTTTCCATTGATCATGTTGTGCTTAAATATCTGTGACTCGAATTGACTCAAGAAATTTCTCGACTCGATTTTTTGCCTAAATATTCTATTTGACTCGATTAACCACATTTTAATAACTTAACTCAGAGTTGTACTGACGTAAGTTAATTACCCAAATGGAGTCAATTGGAGTCAAACCTTTTGATGACTGGACTCGACTTGCGTCAGGAAGGGTAAATGAAAACAGTTCGCGGTACCCGGTGCTTCACCTTACTCGGACCGACCAGCCGACCCCGGCAAACTCGGTGGTCGAGTGGTTAAGACATCTGCTCTAGTAAGCAGGAGGTCGTGGGTCCGAGTCCTATCCGAGTAAGCTTGTGAATTTGTTTGCAAGGTCTCGGAGAAGTACTGACCGTACAGTGTTTATCAATTTATACGTTGGGTAGGGGCAAAACCCGTTATATAAATTAAATGACTCGACTTGAGTTCTTCACCGGCAGACCCGACTTGGGTGAAATTAAATAACACGTCAGTCCCCAAAATGAAAGTAAACTTATTTACATAATAATTTTTAATGACTTACAGTTCTGGTTTATAGTGTTATACTTGTTAAAATCAGAAGTAAGATGTGATGTGGCCTCGTGTAAAAATCCAGAGGTGTATTTAAAAATGCCCTAAACTGACTTTTCTTTGTGTTTTGTTCAGGTTTTGCTGACTCAAATTGACTCAAGCGAAATACTTGACTCGACCAGACTCCAGTATTTTGTCAGATACCTAGACTGGAATAGAATTTCTACTTGACAACTCTAGTCACCAGGTTAAACTGGCTGGACTCGATTCACAAAAAGTAGTTACATGTACTTGTTACAACTCTGGGAGAATTACCAAAGCTTCACTGAGAATGGTCACACAAGTTTTATATTTTCCAACACGGGTGTCAGAGAACACGTTAGAGGTTCTGTCTTTCTACGTTGGACCCCTTTCTTTCTACATCACAGTCGTATTAATTGTCTAGGTTTGATTAAATAACTTTCTCATTACTGTCTCAAAACCAAAATCAACTCTTGTATTTTGTTGCATTGGAAGAGGATCTTATGTATAAATTGAGTTGGTTATACTGATTTGAGTTGGGACTTAGCAAGAATGACACATAATGACAAGCATAATAGCATCACACAATTCATGTAATGAATCGTGAGCAGAAATAAGGATGTCCGCTTTTCACATTTCAATTCAAATGAAAACATTTTCAATCCGCATTGTTGATGCTGTTTTCAGCTCACGGTCGTCATGTGTTTGGTAAAACTGCTGATCAGCGATGCTCCAATAGCACTGATGCACACAACGATGCTTGCCGAGGGCGTTTGTTCTGTCTGCCAGACCCTTATGGATGCTCCTGTGCTGCAGGTTACCAGGGATTAGATTGTATGCAAGGTACCATGTTATAACACATGGAATGTAACTGTTACTTGAGGACTTTTACAAAGGTGTCAACAGATCCTTAACTGTAATTACGTTTTGACCAAGACCAATGTTCAACTAGATTTTTTTAGGGGGGTGGGGAAATTTTAAACCAAAGTATCTGGCCCTAGTGTCTTTGAGTTAGCCCACACAATCCACAGCTAATATGATGATAATATTCCAACGCTTGGTATTCAAATCGCAGCGGTTGTATAGTCACAAAAATCCAAGATTGTAGTGTACCAAAGTTCTAATCTGCTTTGTGAGCTTGGACAATCACCAGAACTAGCAGGCTCTGGAACAAAGTACGTTTTTATATCCATTTAAATACACAACCATATATTTAGGACACAATGAGTAGCATGATTTTCTGCCCTGATAGACGTGGCCTGCGTAATTTGTCAAAAAAATATTGACAATTATTTAAGACTATTTTGATCTGGTGATTTGCATTATTTAATCACTGATGTAAATAAAGGAATTCGTTCTCCAACTTCCAAAATAATGTTATCAGATTTAACAAGGATCTAGGGATGAAGCCCTATCGAATATCCCATCTGGAAACTCGTGTATCCTCAGTTTCGTCTCAGCAAGATGAATCATCTTGCTACAATATTATGAAAAAATCACATTTTGAACGCGGGTCAACTGATTGAATCGTTATTTAAAAGCGACTGGGTCAAAGGGACATATTTTGTTCGGGCAAACGTCATTTCACTACTTTTGGGTTGTATACGTTGGTTTTTGGCTAAATTCTCAATTTAATATAAACTTATCAGAATGTGAAGACGGGACGTTTGGTGCAGATTGCCAGCAGACTTGTCACTGTGCATCAGGAGGAACGTGCAGTAAAGATACAGGAGAATGCAGCATAGGTGAGAGGAGTTATTGTATTGGATAAAATTGAAAAAAAGGTCTAACTAGCAAGTTCGTTCATGTGTGAAGAACAATTTAACCCAATCTTAATTTATTTATCGCAATAAAATTGTGATGTAAATGAAAAGAAATTGTTCTTACAATTGAACTTCATGTTTATGTTCTCTTGTCAGGTTGTGCGGTAACATATTTTGGAAGAAACTGTCAGTGCTCAAGTAAGAAGAATTGGAAAATAATCAGTCAGTGTTATCGTACGATTGGCAAACAGACATCAGAGCACTTTGGCCAAAAGTTACAGTTTATAGAAAAAACCAGTTGAAACAAGGGGGCGTTTTTCACCCCAGCAGATTTTACTTTTTGTTATTAGCGTCTTGTGTACGATGAAGTTAATTTAGGTTATTCTAGGTGTTGTATTCAACTTTAGAAGTCCAACCGGCATGTTTGAAATCACATGCGTTTGGTGGCATAGCATAAAGAGATTTTATAAAGACACAAAGCTATGTTGTCTGGATTGATACATTTTTCATTGCGACTCCATAATGTCAGTGATGCATTGAATCGATTCATGCGCTTCAAGCACAGAATGATGTGTTTGGGTCTGAAGTAACGTCATGCGACCCTCATCAATCAAATATCATTACCCCCCCAAAAAATACTTTTTTTTTATTATTATTATTTGAACATGTATTTTAAGCTTTGTGAACAGTGCAGCTAATTTAGTTTATTTTTTCGTCTGAATGTAACTTGAAATTCGAAATTGCAAGCAGCCGCTGACATGGAAGTGAAGTACAGAGTTTCATAGGATTGATCTCCGCCCGTAACGTTTGGAAAGTTACATCCTTTGGTGCCATCTGCGGCCATATTTCCACTGCATCTGGTATTTTGGAAGGAACTATGACAATTTCTCACAAATATTGAAGATTTATGCTTAAAAAATAAGGAACTTATACAATTTTTGAATAAGCAATAATTGCATGTAAAAATTTGTTTCTGCCTTTACTCCATTATGAGCAAATGTCGAGATTGAAAGCTCTGCTTTTTATTTATGTATTTTCGCCTTGTTTATGTCAATGACGCGTTGAATCAATTCATACGCTTTCAGCTCAGAATGGCGTGCTCGGGCTTGAAGTGACGTCAGGTGACCCTCGTCAACTATTCGTTTCGTGGCAACCTGATCCATGCGCTTCTGGCTACGAATTGACAACCAGGGACGAGTGTGACAGAAATGTATCCCAAACATCAATACCGCAAACGACCTACCAGTTCATAACTGGCCTTGA